ACGCCAAGCGCAATCATTTGGAGACAAATTCTATGCATGCCCGAAATTACGCAATTTACCCACTGGAGAGTATGTATCGGATTGTTCGTTCTTTTAGTGGCTACATGACAAACGTGAAAAGACTAAGGACACTGCCACCATGAGTAGCAATGAGACTGCCAAGGAGTTTCAAGGCCTTATCATGAACTTACAAAGAGAAGTAATAGATGCCAACGTTCGTGAAAGAGAGGTACTGTCCAAGAATGCAACATTGGAGTCAAGAATCAGCAAATACAAGAAACGAGAAGTGTTTTTGCATATTTGTATTCTCTTGTTGGTAGCAATACTGTTGTACCAAAATCTTGTTAATTGAATGTTCGATGTATTGAACTAGATGTTACTATGGATGTAAAATGCACGTAGGATGTACTATGCACGATGGTTGTAGTGTGGAGTTATGTACTTTTTGTATCATTGATTTATTTCTCATTTGGTTGTGATATATATGAAGTGCATCATCTAGATTATTCCTCGTTTTTAGAATTCACAATTCACATATTCATACCTGCCAAATAGAATGTGAATTTGCCAAATTAAAAATATAAAGGCTTCCACTTATTAACATGCTCAGACCTTGGTTCCACCCCTTCATATGATTCCTAGTGCTGAATGTTAGTAAATAAATATCTGCTAAATGTGTTTAGCTTGTGGTTTTTAGGTCCGTGATCATCCCATGAGCTAAACATGTACACTGTGATGCTTAAAAAGAAAATGCATAACATCTTAGTCACACTGCAGTATATGGACATTACATGGGGAAGAAGTGAGGAACTACATTTGGGGTCAACTCATATGAACCAGATTTCATAAATACCACCAAGTCTCAAATAACCTTAAAATTACACCAAATCTCAAATACCACCAAGTCAACATACATTAAAATTATTGTCTCAAATGATACGAACTAACAATTTTAAACATCAAACATTATTAGATATGACATGAAATACATAACAAGAAATCATCAAAACATCATTTACTTCTGCCCTTCTAATTCCGCTCATTCTTGGTCTATTGTTCGATCTGGAACAATAGCCTCAACATTTTTTTTCTGCAAAAAGATTGTAAAATATTAAAATTCATACATAACTTGAGTTCAACATTTCATCTAATTTTTTCGAGTTCTTTTAGTTTCTTCTAGTTTTTTCCAGTTTCTTTCAGTTCTTCCAGTTTCCTCTAGTTTATTCTAGTTTCTTCCAGTTTTTTCCAATATCCATCTCTTTTTTTTCAGTCCTAAAGAACAGAGTCTTAGTGTACAAATACTTGGGTATTTTTTTTGAAAAGCCATCATTGTTTTTTTATTGAATGTGAAAAAATGAAGATTTTTTTTTTGATAAAAAAAAAAAGATAATGCACCGCTAAATTAGGATGGAAATAGTACAAGTTTTTATATACAAAGTCAACCATTAACATGTCATTAGGATTGTCTGTAGTCTGTACACTTTGGTAATTTTGATAACTCTTTTTGTTATATTATGACATCAAGTTAAATAGATGGTTCCTACCATACAACTCCTCTTCTAAACCTCCCACCTCAGTCCGCTCCCTGCACCCCAACTCATGATCGCCGATTTAGAAAAGACAAAAAGATTTGTCAGACATATTAATTATGACTGAAAGAGTTAAAAGTTTAAAATTGAATAATTTTACTTTATTAGCAGAGTGGTAAAGTTAGGGCGGGATCAGCTTTAGCTCATTTCAAGCGGGTTATTTCAAATTTAATCATCTTAAAGTTGGTTACAAAATACTCCATCCATCTCTAAAATATGTTCCCTTTTCATTTTCTACACATGCCTCCTCAAATTTCTAAGAATACATTCAAAACAACTTCTACCTAAAATAAAAAAAGAAATATGTAGGTAGAAATGTTTCATGTGATACTTAAAAAAAAAGAAAAAAGAACCTATTTTTGAGGGCCAAATAGCTCCCGTGCCCCCTGTGGTTTGGAAAATTTTTTGGAAAGTTAAAAAAAACCCAGAATAAAAAAATAAAAATATAGAAAAACGAAATGAAAAAATTAAAATGCGGAAAAAAAGTCTTATTCAAAAAAAATTAGACACGCCTAAAAAAGTCCTTAGAATTAATATGTCTAAAACAGATATTCATTTTTATTTTTGTATAATTTTGTTTCTTATTTTATTCCTCATTTTCTTGAATTTCTCAAAAAACAATTTACTTTTTTTTCATAAAAAAACAAAAATTGTTAAAAGGAAAAAACAAAAAATATGCAAGAAATAAAAATCAGCACTGATACCCCCTATGGTTTAAAAAATATGCACCAATGCCCCCCTTCTTTGCCGGAAAAATGGCTGGAAAATGATCAGAGGGAGCACGAGTGCAGCATTTTGAAACCACAAGAAATTTATAAATAAGTTTTGAAAACAGAAGGGGTATTGGTGCTTGTTTTATAAACCAACCACAAGGGGTACTGACGCTATTTGGCCTATTTTTGAGACAAAGGAAGTACCTTATTCAAAGGTTAATATTTTCTAGTCAGATGATAAGTAAAAAATATGTAGAGTCAAATTTGGTTAGTTGTAATTAAATGTATCAACAAGGTGCATGGGAAAGTTTGACTCAAAAGTCTCAAAAGGCTAGGCAGAGCAAGAAGCGCTTTACCAAGAAGAGAACATGTGGAAGGATGAAAGAAAATGAGGGGGTGGTTAATTGAATATATTCCTCTAGAGTTTGACTATCAAATATTAATCATTATTTAATTTAAAAAACATATTGCTTGCATAATACTCAAAATAATTTCATTAAATTAGTATTGATAAAAAATCTCAAAAAAGTAGTCTTTTCAAATTTATTAATCGGGGTGTTAAATATTCTCTCCGTCTCTAAAAGTCACAGTTTGACTTGTTTGGTCAAACTATGACATTCCTTGACCACTAATTAAAAATAGTATAAAATAATAAAAAATTCGATATTTAAAAAATATATTTTAAAATAAACTTATTTTGACTAAATATACATTATAACAAAATATACTTTTTCCATAATTCGCGATCAAAAGTGTCATGCAGAGTTTGACTAAATTTACATTACTCCCTCCGTCCACAAATAAACTTTACGTTCACTATTCACAGGGTCAAACTTTATTTACTTTGTTGGCCTATTTTCATCACCCATTTCATAAAATAATATAGTAATGTCATCTCTAGTTTTGTAGATCTTTTGATATAGTTTTTTAATATGCAATTTTTATTTTTCAATTCTACACCATTTTTCATATAAAATGATTTGAAAATAACTTCGGTCAAACATCGTAACGTGTAATGTAAAGTTTATTTGTGGACGAAGGGAGTATAACTCAATGAGAGAGTGAATTGAGACGGGAGTAGAGACTCTTTCTTCTTTGCTCACTACTCCGTGTTTAATTTCAATGGGTTGACTAATACAATTCAACAATTGTACGTATTGGACTTGTAATATTATTTCTCCTCCTAGCCTCCTTCCCTCCCTTCTTGCACTGTTCCATTTTCTTATCTTCCTTTATTTTAGTTTCTCAGTTTTAATAAGGGTAAAAAAAGAAGAAGACAGCTTTTAATTTGGACATGGGTATTTGTTTGGGGAAACCAGCAAAGCTTGCCCATGTTTCTTCTACCCAATTGTTTTCTGGTATGAACTTCACATCTTTATCTTTAACTTTGACATCTCTCTCTTATATATATATATTTTGGTTCTGGTGAGAATGCGATCTTAGAAGAGAAATGAGAATGAATCTGGTGCTTTAGATTGTGCGATCTAAGGGTCAGGATTGCATCAAAATTAGATGCAACAAAATGATTTAAAAATGCATCACGTCGAAATGCATCATAATCCTTTCGAAATGCACTATCTCAAAATCTGAGCGCAGGATGCAATCTGAGCCGCACGATGCATCAGATCCAACGGCTAGATTTCATTCTCATTTCTCTCCACAAGGTGCATTCTCACAGGAACTGGCCCCTATATATATATATATATATATATATATATATATATATATATATATATATATATATATATATATATATATATATATATATATATATATATATATATATATATATATATATATATATATATATATGTATATGTATGTATGTATCAAAATCTATGTGTGTGTGTGTGCATTATAAGTTCCTTTTTTCGTTTGAAAAATTTAAAACAGAAAGTGCACATACGTTTTTCTTGTATAATTGGCTTTTAAGGTTTAATTATAATTTGCACACATATTATTGACTCAGGCTCTGTTGTTTTCGGTTGGAATTCTAAAGGTAGATATTAGAAAAAACTGGAAGAAGTTGGAAGAAATTGGAAGGAGCTGGAAAAGATTAGTACTAAGAAAATGTTGGAAAAAATAAAATGAAAAAAAATCACTCAATTAAATGATCACCTAAATAAATATGTAAGAAAACTAAATTTAGATATGAAAAAAATTCTTCTTTTTCCGTATTTAAGGTGTTATACTATAAATTTGAATATATAATATTTTTTTATAGTCATCATATGGAAATATATTTTTTAATTTGTTGTTAGAAGAAATCGGAAGGAAATGCCCTTAAAATAGTCTTTGCTTGTTGAGTGCTTCTAGAGTGCACCTTGGATGCATACCATTTTTATGGACCTTCTCATATTTTTTTTTATTTTTTATAAAAAAAGAACAGATTCTTATTTAAATAGTAAGAAAATGTTTATTTTGCTCATATGTAGGTTCATAGGAAAACTTATGTCTACCATAGAATTCAACTTGATTGTTCTTTAGAAGTATGTGTTTTCCCGCCTCAGGTTCAACTATTGTTTAATTTGGTAAAACTTGTTTGTATACTGAGAGGGTGTTTGACAGTACGCTGCTTTTAATAATTTAGCTTCTGCTTTAAGTGAAAGTGATTTTACTCTGTTTGGCATGTCAGTTTCTACTTTTCACCACCACTATTTTGTACATGGAACACCGTTTTGGAGAAGCAAGTATAAGTTACTTTTGCGTTCAGCTTTTATAAAAATCACTTTATTCACAAGTTAATCACTTCCAAACACCCTCTAACTATGTTTCACTCTTGTTTCCAGAAACTAAGAATAACAATGCTCCAAATGAAGCTGATGAGAAAAGCGGATCAACACCATTCCCAGAATCGAGTGGTAACCACAAGCACCTAAAGCCCTTTGCCTTCAATGATCTGAGAACCGCCACTAGGAATTTCCGGTCGGACAGTCTTCTGGGAGAGGGCGGTTTCGGGTACGTCTTCAAAGGATGGATTGATGAGCACACATTCGCTCCCTGTCGGCCCGGAACCGGCATGGTTGTGGCTGTAAAGAAACTCAAGCTAGAAAGCCCCCAGGGTCATAGAGAATGGGTTGTATGTTACCTATCAGTTACTTTTATTATCATTATTGTTCTGTTTTATTATGTGTGTGGTGACTAAAATTCACTATTTTATGAAACTTTCAGTCAGAGGTTAACTACTTGAGCCAGCTTCACCATGAAAATCTTGTGAGGCTGATCGGGTATTGCTTGGAATGCGAAAACCGACTTCTGGTTTACGAGTTCATGCCGAAAGGAAGTTTGGAAAACCACCTGTTCCGGAGTGAGTACATTCTATTCTACCTCTCAACATTACTGTGCCTTCTTTTTTGGATGAATGAACCTCTTAACAAGTGTTTGAGATAATTGTCAAAAGAGGTTGGTTTAGGTGGAATAGTAATGTTCTTATCCTGAACACTTCATTGGATTGGTATGAACACATGCAGAAGGAGGACAACTTATCCCATGGTCTACTAGGATGCGCATCGCGGTCGATGTGGCACGGGGTCTGGCGTTCTTGCATGGCCTCGATGCCAATGTGATCTACCGTGACCTTAAGGCCTCCAATATTCTCCTTGATTCGGTACACGCCATGGTCCAACTAAGAAGGCGTTTGTTTGGTTTTAATTTCCTCTGTAGTTATGATTGAACTCGTCTCGTGCAGGATTTCAACGCAAAGCTTTCCGATTTTGGCCTTGCGAGAGACGGTCCTAGTGGAGACAAGACTCACGTCTCCACTAGGGTAGTTGGAACTCGAGGTTATGCTGCACCCGAATACGTTGCAACAGGTTTCTCTCTCATTTGATTTTTCACGGCATTCAATGCAACACTTTGACCACTACGGATGACTTTATTCATAGATAAATGTGAAATGTGATCCGTGCATGACAGGTCACCTGACGCCGAAGAGCGATGTGTACAGCTTCGGGGTGGTTCTTCTAGAGCTGCTATCGGGAAGGCGAGCGTCGGGCGATGAGAGTCTAGGGGGCGGCGAAGAAACATTGTTGGTGGACTGGGCAAGACCGTCGCTATGCGAGGGCCGGAGAGTTGTGAGAATAATGGACACGAGGTTGGGCGGTCAGTACTCGAAGAAAGGCGCTCAGGCTGTCGCCGCGCTTTCCTTTTCGTGCCTCCATAGCGACCCCAGAGCGAGGCCTTCCATAAAAGAGGTTCTCGATGCACTGGAACAACTCCCCCTGCCCCCAACCAGGCCAACACCATCTAAGGCAAGAAGAGTCATTAACTAGAGCTGGACATATTGATGGTTAGAAGTAAATGGCATGTACAAATGATGGTTACAAAGAGAACAATTTCATATACACAGCTCACAAATGATGGCTAATAAATAATTGGCATTCCATTTATTTTGTTTATTTTCATTGAGGGGTGGGGATTTGTGTCTCAATTGAACAAATCTAAACATTAAGATGTGTATACAATTTCAATCACATTCACAAGCTAACTCCTTAACACCCACAGCCATCCCTCCCTCTGCTTTCCAATGCCTATAGCTAATTTAATTCTCTCATGGGAGAAAAAGGTCCCATGAAAGACAATAAAAGAAATATAGAACATAAGAGAATAATGCCTAAAACTTGGAAACAAATGGTGGCAAACAAACTCTACTTCGCTTCTTGCATATCGTCTTCGGTCCTCCAAACTACATCTTCAAGGCAAGTGGAAAGGTTCTTGTAAAACTGCAGAAAACACAAAATGCAGTAAGTTTAGGTTTCGAATCTCAATACCAAACAAAAAGAAGATAAAGGTTTCGATGATTGAACAATGCTAGGGGCACACCACTTTTTGACACCAATATAATGTGTCTCGGACAGACTCTCACAGACAATTTCACATTGTTGAGTGTATGTGAGATGTATTGGTGTCAAAGTTGGTGTCGAGGGTAGGTAAAAACACGTATATCAATCCATGTACAATATTACCTTGTGGAATTCCAATGTGTCTCCTTTTGCCTTTCGCACCTCGACAAGGTGAAGAGAAGGGGCAACTTGGAATACCTGGTTTGAGTATTCAAAGTTTTGGCCTTGTTTTTTTAACAGAGACAGAATTTTAAAAAAGATAACAAAGAAAACAGTTGATTCGTGCACCTCGGTCGAAACATTAAGATTCCCCTTTCTTCCTGCTTTTATGTTTTCGAGCCGCATCTAGTCATAATTTAAAAAAAATGAAGCATATTCATTTATGATGTTTTCTATTGTCTTTGGTAACACGTTACGCCGATACAGCATGAGTGACATGGCACATTACCTTGTAATTCCTTTTGCTGACATCGAACCCAAGAGGCTTCACAGCTTCTTCAATCTTAGTGATTATCTCACTGGCTGTGCATTTTGAAGTGAACCTTGTTTCCTTCTTGAATCCCTATGAGCAATTATGGATGAAACAAGTCACTTTTGGGTTCGGTTAACAAAACCTTTGATCCCAACCCCGGTATTTAGGGTTGGGTTTCGGGTAAAAACAAGTCAGGTCAATTTTTGTCACTTCAATGATTGTCATATCTATAAAATAAGAGTTATTTGCTTGAGAAATTGATAATGGTGGGTTTGAGAGACCAAGAAAAAAAAGTTAGAGATGCATAGAAGAAACCTTTTCATCAAAGAGATTTCCGAGATCGAGGCCTTTTGACATAGAAATTAACTCAAATGCATTCATGGCAGTTGGCTGCTCTTCCTTCTTCTCTGTAACATGATGCTCCTGATATAATTTTAAACAAGAAATGATATCTTAGCATATGAGTTACGCGTCCACTTAGCATTTTACATTACTTTCTGATGAAAATACCGTTAGAACTCACTTGAGCATCCTTAAAAACAGCTTCCACATCATCGACATTTGCATCTTCTTTCTCATAAAAGATGGGAGGTTTATAGCCTTTCTTAAACCACTCGTTTTCCAAAATCTCGGGGATGGTAATGCGCTGCACATTGAGACAGTGACGTTATGGATAAAACCAATCACAAATAATCGCATAAGCAGAAATCATTTTCCATATAACCAAAAAATCAAATTCACTACAGAATAACAAATCCATGTAAAAAAAAGGTTTATTTATTTATACTCACAGTTGCAGGATTAGGGTCCAAAATTCGAGTAATTAACTTCATGGCACTGAAGGAGATCCAGGGCGGGCAAGTAAATTCAGCAGAAGATATCTGCATTCACAGTTTGAATAGTAAGAAATAAAAGGGTAAAAACATACGGAGTAAATAAATAATCTTGGCATGAGTGCATGAAAAAGCTCACCTTCTTATATAGGTTCATAAGATTAGAATCATCAAAAGGCAAGTATCCTGCAAGCAATACAAAGAGTATGACTCCACACGACCACAAGTCAGCAGCCGACCCATCATAACCTCGATCATCTAAAACCTAAAGACAAGAATTTTTCGTTGTCATTAAGAAAAATGCATGCTTTCTTCTCACTTGCTGGTGTTGTTTTTTTTATACCTCAGGAGCAACATAATTTGGTGTTCCACAGGTTGTGTGGAGTAAGCCGTCATCCTGTCAAATAATGGATACATGTAAGAAGATTGTGGATTTAATTATGTCTCTTTTAGCCCATAGCTAAAACATTGTCAACTTAATGACTCTTTAATGGGAGAATATAAGTATAACTAATTACCCGGATTTGCTGGGATAGAGCACTCAATCCAAAATCAGAAACTTTGAGTTTCCCAGCAGCATCCAAGAGCAAATTCTCTGGCTGCAAAAAGCAATAGAATGTGGGAATTTAGAGTCAGATCTTCTAACAATATCAAATTTGTCGAATAATGTTTCGCGGGGCAGTGAAAAAAATTAAAGCAACAGTATGATCAACCTTCAGATCGCGGTGGTAGACTCCCCTGCTATGGCAATAATCAACTGCATTTATTAGTTGCTGGAAATATTTCCTTGCATCGTCCTCCCTCATCCGTCCATGATTTACCTTTGTTATCATGAAATTAATTAATTAAAAAAAACAAATCCAGATTATGAAAATTGGCAGAAGTTTCGCTTTGGAAATGAGGGAATCAAAGGGAAAAGAAAGAATCTGCATACGATTTTGTCAAACAGCTCTCCGCCGGTAACAAATTCCAAGACAATGAAAATTTTGGTCTTGCTCCCCATCACCTAAAGGTAAATAAAGTTAAGGCACCAATGAAACTGTGATCATAATGTGACAAATAATTGGATGGGCTATTAACTTCATTGGATGGGTTATGAAACTGAGACCTCAATACCTCATATAGCTGAACCACATTTGGATGGGTTATTAACTTCATTGTAGCTATTTCTCGCTTGATCTGTCGAATTAAGCACATTTAAAACATTAACATAAAAAAGAGTAACTTTTCCTTTCTTTGATCAAGAGTAAATTTTTCTTTCCCCTCCACTTTCAGCACATCCAAACTCAATTTAATGCCGATGGCCGTAATTTCTACTACCTCCCATAGTAAGAAAATAAGAGGAAAAAAAAGGAAAGAGAAGGCAAATGAAAGTAGTATGAGAAGACAATTTGTGTTTGTCTTCTCATAGTTGTTGCAACTTCATTCTCACTTTTTAGCCAAAAGGAGAGAGTAAATGTATAATAAATTCAACCTTTTGCCTAAGAATGAGAAATAAAGATGCACTACTCCGTAATTCATGCAATATTTTGCACAAAAAAGTGAGAATAAATATGTAATACATGGAAACCTTTTGCACAAAAAAGTGAGAAAAATGCAACTTATCAACAACCCTAGGATCTGTTGCTAGCAAAAGGGCAAGAAAAATGCTAGCTCCTAACTCAAATGTATAATATATTAATAAAATAAAGAAAACAATGCAAAATATGGTGATTTAGGGAGCACAATCATACACACCAGTTCAACAGTATAGTAAATAAAACCTGCAAACAAAAATAAAGAAAGAGAAAAAGTACTAACTTGTTCAGCCATTTTGTGCTTGAGGACTTTATCTTTGTCAAGAATCTTGATAGCAACCGGATCTCCGGTCTCGGAATCCCTTGCAAACTTGACTTTGGCAAACGTACCCTCACCTATCGTCCGCCCCAGTTCATATTTACCCACTCTCCGCTTGGTTTTCGGTTGATTCATCTTCTTGTTGCTCAATCCCCTGTGTTTACTGCATATTCATCATCACATACATTCTTCCACTTAGTCAACAATTATGGTAGAACAAAACAGAAAATTATATCAAATATTTTCTTGCAAATCTTCTGCATACAGACATTTTAACGTGTATTCGTCTGTGGGGATAATATCATTTTCCCACTTTAGTTTATTCAAATGAATTGAAGTGATAATTATGCAATAATGCTTTAGATCGTTTATAGTGATTTAAAAAAGATTTCTTTATTAAAAAAAGAAGCGATTTGTGTGTGTTTACTGTAAAATAAGGTGGCCTTCACCATCAATGAGAAATTGATGTTTAACAAGAAACGTGACGTGCTCCAAGAATGGGTAAGAAACAAAGAAACTTCTAAATAAAGATCAAGAACCAGAAAGGGAAACCAATATCTGGAGGCGAACTCCAGGAAAATTCAAGAACATTAAAATGCTCAAAAAAAAAAAGATTGCTTTTTTTAAAAAAGAAAAAAAAAACCCAGAAAGAAAAAAAAAAAGCCAGACTGCCGATTCCCAGGTTCAGCAGCATAACAAACACAAACCCCAGAAAAAGAAACACAAGAAAGAAAGGAACAGAGCTCACCAGAAGTGATATATGAGAATATATATTGATATTGTTGAGCAAGCTAGATAGCAGAGGGTGGAAGGGGAAATGGAACTTGGGAAGATTATATAAGCACCCTTTAGAGCTCTGCAGCCTTCCAGAGACTACAAAGTTATCACCGACCGATAGTGCAACCTCTCTCTCTCTTTCTGCTTCACAATTTTCAATTACCATGTGCGTACATTTTTATATACATCTCCCCCGTTCCGCAATTAACTTTAGGGACTTTTTTCAGTGTTAGTTCTATTTTTTCCGTTAAATCATCCTAAATAAGACTAAAATAGAGAAAAATATTAAAATAGGACTTTCATGTTTTTTTGACTTTGTACTGTGGTAATGTGGCATTGTACATGTGCACATTACTATACTTTTTTGGTAATGTACATGATCATGTTTGGTAATATAAGTCTTATTTCAGGAATAAAAACATAGGAGTCGTTTTTTTTCAATGTTTTAGTTTTACTTTGGTCTTTCTCCCTTTAGTTAATGTTATACCCCATACATTTTAGTTTAATTGGAAAAACTATGACCAATGATATCTTAATAATCATCAAAGAAGTTAAATGGTGCGAAGTGCACGCTTCGTTGAGTTTGTTAGAATAAAAATCTCATTTTAATGGGGGTTCCAAGGGGCAACGCCCCTTTGGCGGGGGATCAGAGGCAGCACCCCCGAGTAGGGTTCAAGGGCGGCAGCCCCTGCGGGGTCTAAGGGACAGAGCCTCTGGCTGGGGTTATGTTAAAAATTCATTTGAATTTTTATTTTTCGAATTTTTATTTAAAAGAACAATTTGTTAAGGATAACAACGATTTCTTCAAAAAAAATCGCACGAAGAATCGTGGCATCTATTCTTCTCCTCCGCAACTCTATAAATTCCAGGAAACCTTTGATCGAAAATTTGTTCGGAAATGCACAACAATCTCATAATTGTTCTTGTTACTTTCGAATTTTATCTAATTAAATTTTGGATTGAACCACTAAAATATTCAATCTGAAAGTGCTATACACAACTCTTGATTGATCCGCGTTATCGTTATTATCCCCGATAGTTAAGTGGTTGTAAATTCTATTTACATTATTTTTCACAAATAACTAGATGTTATAAATTATATCTAGTCGTTTTTAGATAGAGTTGTAGCGTCCTAATAACATCGTGTTGGTGTAGATTGTGTTGTGTCACTTTTTATGTCACCATAGGCAGTGACTAATCCACGTAAGGAATTGAAGCTGTGGTTTTGGAAGTTTAGCTGGCATTTATTTTTGACATGCGATTTATGCCAAAAAGGAGTCCTAAAGTGTTTTGGAAAGTTTATTAAGAGTTGTTCGCCGCTTGGGAAGATTCTAAGACTGTTAAGAGTTGTTCGCCGCTTGGGAAGTTTCCAAGACTTTGTTTCAATATTCTTGAGGGGCAAGAATCAAATGGATCAAGGATTCCTTATCGGACTCTCATAGGATTTGTGTGCCCTATTAATACTCTACGCCTTTCTTCATACAAGGCGGCGAGAAAACCCAAAAGAGGCTAATATACATGAGAGAACCTGGGAGACTGTCAAGGTATTTAATGTTTATATGAAGATCCTTTGTTAGACTATAGGAAACATTTCTTGGGCTACAACCACAAGCTTGAGCTTTTGGTTGAGTTGGTTTGCTGACATGCAATCAGAGCCTTTTTGACTAAGAGGTCACGGGTTTGAAACTCAGCAGTACCCCGTTTTAAAAAGATTAAGGGTTCACGTGCAAGGCTCGAAAAAGAGTACACCTGCACGTAAGGGAGCGTGTTAGAATATAAGAAACATTTCTTGTGCCACAACTACAAGCTTGAGTTTTTGGTTGAATTGGTTCCTTGACATAAGTACTACTACTATTATTATTAATACTATAACAACAAGAAGTGAGAATTTTAGTAATAACCTAAGAAGGAAACTAAAAACAAAAAATTAGAATGTAAGTTAGTGATGTTAAAAATGAAGAGAAAAGAAGAAGAAAAAATTTACAACAGAGAAGTACAAGACAAAAAAGAGTACAAAAATAATTAGAAGTTAGGGGTTAAGCATAGATACTTTAAAAAATATGTTAAAAAACTATACTGAGTATATGCAGTATTGAAGTCATCGGGAAAATATTGTGAAAAAAATTGACTGCATATTACTTGTTAATTAATGATTTACGTCAAACAATTATAAAAAAGCAAACTTTGTAGTAAAAAATTAAATAAAGTATTTTTTATTGTTAACAAATAAGTAGCACTTTGTTGTTTCTGTAATGTTGCGGGGTATCCAAACACCAAAAGATGTGATGCGGAAGAAGAATTATATTACTAATTAGTAGTTATTTATTATTGTTTTATTATTAATCATGTTTGGGGTTTGAGTTTGCGCCTTGAACATTTTAGGTCAAGTAGTGTTATCTTTATTCTCCATATATTGTAATCCTTTCTCAATATTATGCAAGCAATGAGAATAGTATAAACCATGATCTTTCTTCCTTTTTCTTGAGAGCTCGAAAAAGCTAGAAGTTTTCCATTTTTATCTTCTCTCTTCTTCTAGGAGCTTGGAGAGCACTCGAAAAACAAAATAACTGAGTGTGTTATACAAATGCTACAACACAAGTTACAACGAGATGAGACTTGCGAAGTATTGTAACATCTTATGCATCACTTAAAAGTAAAACCAAAGTAAAAAAGTAGTAAAATAACACAACAATATGTTTACGTAGTTCGGAGAAAATCTCTACATATGTAGGGCGCAAGTACGTGTAACAGCTCTTCCACTAAATCATTATAAAGATTACACCTCCAATCACAATTAATGAATTATATCGAAAGTATTGACTTAATCTACTTACGAATGAATATGGCGACAAAATCGGTTTGCACCTATCTCTTTGGCTGGTTACACCTTCACAACTTTTTCAAGGGACATGTTAGCAACCTAATCTTCAGAATGGCAAACTTTAACTTCTGGATAACACAACGAGCATATGTTCATGCAACACCTCTAGGGTTGTGAATGATCAAACTAAGCTTTTGCAACCTCACGCAAGATATTATGAATATGTCGTGATGATCTTCATGTATGCAACGAACTCTTTGAAACAGCCTTTGAGATTTTCCCGTGTATAATAGGCTCTTCTAATTTTTCCCGCCACCTAAACAAAGAGAGACGCTACAAATCTATTTAAACTTAAAATTTCTAGACACAACAACATATAACTTCTACTTATTTGTCAAAAAATAATGCCAACGGAAGTTGCGACAACTCATCATCTAAATAATATGGAAGTGAGCTATACTTGGAATTCTTCCCCTCTATAGCTCGTATGGGGTGGCATTGGTTCCACTTCTGAAATAGACATGATTGATAATGTAGCATACTGTATCAACAGCCTCATCCCGGAAACATTGAGGAAGACTGTGCATGTTTATCTTGTTGTGTTCCATCACTTGAACATGCATGTTTCTTCTTTCAGCCATGCCATTTTATTGAGGCATTTTGGGAGCTGAAAACTCGTGATCACTTTGAATATCTCAAAACAACCATTGTTAAATTCTCCTTCATGCTCACTTTGAACTCAGATTAGCTTCTTTATTTTGAGTTATTTTTCATTCTGAACTTTTTTCAAAGAGCTGGAAAAGCATCTAAAGCATCATCTTTGTGCTTTAGAAAACTTACCTAAATATATCTTTTAAAGCCATCAACCACCTTTGAAAAAACACTTCCCTTCAAGACTTTATTTCTTTATGTGACGGAGCCTGTAATGCCATAACTTAGTGTCTCTTGTGCTGGCTAAATAACAAAAAATGTTGGGATTGACTTTGTAACAATTATAAGTGGTTTTGTCACCTTCTAGCACAACAAGATTGTTTCTTTCTTTAACACGACATTTTTGATGAGTAAATGTGGCTTAAAGTCCTTGATCACATATTTAACTAATGCTTAGTAGGTTCACTTGTAAGCCTTGAACCAGCCCTATATTCTTGATTAAAGGTAATCCTGAGACATTTTGAATGTTAGTTCTAGTAATCTGATCATGTGCACCTCTTCCAAATCTAACATTATATTGCTTCCTTCCATTCGTTAAATATTTGTTAAATTTTGTTTGTCACCTATCATGTGTTGAGAACAATCACTGTCTAGGAGCCACTGATCATGAGTGACACGGTGGTAGGAGTTTGCTATGGAAGGATGATATTTTGGGTCCAAATCATGCTCACACTTTTCGCTTTATTAACAGATAATATACCTCTAGACTGTTTGCTCTTCGGCTTCTTGTAATATCTTTTGATGTGACCCCATCTTCTACAGTAGAAGAACATTATTTGCTTCAGAAGATGAGTATAATCGTGAATATTTTTGGCCATATGTGACTCAGCTTTGATCTTTCGCTTTACAGGTCTATCATCAATAATAGAGGTGTAGACATAAGGAACCTCACATCCCCTTCTTCTATTGCCATGCCTATAACGTGTGGTTGGATTGTCATATGAAAGAACCTTTTTGAGTTTTTTCTCAAGAATCAGATGAATAAGAGCCTTATTAAATTTTGAAAGACCCCCGGATTTGTCATTTGAGAATTTGCCAATACGGATAGCTTCCTCAACCTTTTCTGCTCCAGCACTTTTCATCCATTTGGTGTAATCTTGAAACTTTTTCAGATCGGGTTCAAGATTCGCTTGCAAACCTTCAAGATCTTGGATTTCTCCAGAGCGTCCATGAGTTTTTCGTGAGCTTCGGTTAACTCATTAGTGATTCTATTTTTCTCTAGAACGTTCCTCTTGTTTATCATCAGGTGATCTGCCCATTTTTTCTAAAGTTCTGCAAGTTGTACAGTTAGATTTTCACGATCTTCTGTGTCAACTCATGAGGTCAGAGCACAATTGTTTTCACCTCCTTATTTGAGTTCATCATCACTCCTACTGGACGTGTATGCCAATTTCTTTTTCTTGAGATTGTTGGTACACTCAGAATGAAAATGACCGAAGCCTCTACATTCAAAATATTGAGGTCTCTTCCTCTCGGATTCAGTATTCTGAGGAGAAACCTCTTGTTGCATTTGGTACTTGAATAATAGACCTTTTAATTATTCTCCCTGATTAAATTTCTTTCCTTTCTTCTGCATCCACCGCTTCTTAAATTTCCTGTTGAACAAGGAAAGTTATTCTTAAAAATTTGCATCGGTTGACAGATTTGTGTTTCTATCATCTTCTGTG